AGACTCTGGCTATAACAGTCGTAGTTTATTATAATTCAGACTCTGGTTATAACAGTCGTAGTTTATTATAATTCAGACTCTGGTTATAACAGTCGTAGTTTATTATAATTCAGACTCTGGTTGTAACAGTCATAGTTTATTATAATTCAGACACTGGTTGTAACAGTCATAGTTTATTATAATTCAAACTTTATAGTTAGATTATGTTGTAGCAGTAGTTTACTGTAAATCAAATTCCAATAAAAAATATCTTAGTATATTAACAATATCTATACAGGCTTGGTATGTTAGCCCAACCTCGTAATTACCATGTAACTGTACATATTGCAACTCTTAATGTACTAAGTGTATCTTCACAAAATTTGGCAAATGTTTAGTAGGCATTACAGGTATCTTGTAAACAAAAAACAGATTTTTTTTAATTGAGTATTTTTACTAAAGATTTATTTGTGAATTTATGAAGCCTTTACTGGTCAGAGCGAAAGGTGATTTTCATGGTGTTAGAGTACCTCTTTTCATCTTAGTTTTCATATTTTATATGCATAACCTTTAGAACCTCATAAATTAGTCTTCTTGTGGTAAAACTTTGAATTTTATATCTTATTCTCTCTACCCTAACATTAACTGTAGCAAAATCATCAATGTACAGTGAAATAAAAAGCTTAAAAATACCAAATACAATGATTACCATTTGTTTGAGTGCTGACTGTAAGAGAATTCAAAACAAGTTATCCTAACAACTTCAGCCTCTAATCTTTACACATGCTTTTTTTAATTTCATGGTTCTCTTACTGTACTTTGGACAAGCTTCTATGTGTGAAAAGTAATAGATGACAGTGGGAGCCCTTCATAGCTATTTCCCTACAAAGCTTTATGTAAACATCACATGATCTAGTTTCCTTTTCATTCAACAGCTTCAGGCAGTGTGATTCTAGATGTTTGTTTTAGAGAAGTTATGTTCAGATAAACTGAAAAATGTATAATTTTTACATATTAGTTACTTTTGTTAAAAAATATATATTTAAAAATAAATAAAACAAGAAACTTGGTATTTACTATAAAATCAAAGCCCTTTCAATGGTGTTAGCTGCTCTTCATTAGCTAATTTTTCTCATAAATGTGGGTCTCCACAAAGAATTCTTGTAGTTTTCAAATATAAATTTTAGAACACAAATATATTAGACATTAGAACAGAATGTTTCAAAAGTACTTTAAATTAATTTGGTTTTATAAGTAAGCTATGAATAGGTTAAAAAATTCCTTTATCTCTTTAGGGTAGGATAATAATGATCACAGATAAAGAAATACAGTGAACTTTATACTTATTGTATTGGTTGTAAACATGTCTATTGTCCTTGTAAAGTTGATTACCAATAAATTTTGAAAGACAGATAGATGGGAGGGGTGGGGCCTCTCTGATGAGTTGGACAAATTTATTGATATCTCAGTAAATCAAGAAGACAGGAGGTTCAGAATTTATATTTTTGTTTATGATTGATTGGAAACTGTAGAAGTCTATTACTGAAGTTAAAAAATGCTGAATAATTCGGTGTCGCACAACACAGAAAAAATTAAGATTGAGAATTTTCTAAATATTTCCTTTTTACTTAGGAAATTAAAACTGTTTTAATGTCAAGTCTATTGATAAAAAGTTGTTTAATTGAATTTTGAATGTAACTTTTTTTATTCTTTCTCTTTGTTGAGGTTATGATGTGCCCACAATGACTTGTGGAGAGAGTTAATATGTGAAGTGTTGTATTTGTGACAGCTGAACACTATAGTTATTACTCAGTTATATGTTACATTAACCATTTATTATAATTTGGTAACAATATTTAACACATTTTATATTTGAGTATAAATACATTTTCTACAGATATCTTTTACTTAATCAGTTTAATAAGAATTAAAACTATTGATTCTAGTAACTTGATTAACATATTGATTTTTTTCAATTTATATATATAATATATGCTCTGCAAGTGATTCCTGGTCATTTTTCTTTTTTTATGGGGTACATGTTAAAACTATATTTTCTATACTTTCATATATATTCAGTTCTAAAGCAGTAAAAGCTAAACTATGTTTGCAGGATATGTTTGGATCGTACTATCCAGTGTGAGGGAGTGCTTCGATGCTACTGGCCACTTCTTCCTAACAGTGTTCAGCAATTGTTACGATCTCGACTGATTGGAAGTCGCCACACGAGCCTTGGTGGATCTTGAGAGTCTCTCTTACAGAAAGTTTTTTTTAATATAAAGTTAAAAGTTCGTCAGAATCTTGTAAAGAAACCCGTGAGGTATACATTGCTTGGAACTGTGATAGTGTATTTATTTTATTTTTTAAAAAAAATGTACAAATGACAATAATTTACATATAAATCTGGGTTTTTGGAGGTGAGTGAATCTCCAATCTTCCATACTTGTACTGTATAGATGTTCCCTAAAAGCCAGCTACAAAACTTGAATGTATTTGTGAAGGTAAACATTACCTATATGTATTTGAAAATCAAGAACAGATTATTAATTAACATAGTGACAAGGCAACAGTGTTGTTGTTTGGGTTGGTCCAGTAACAATTTGAAATTTTATCTAGTGAGAAAAATAATTATCAGAGAAATTTTTGTCTCGTATTACATTATAATTTGGCAATAGCTTTTGTAGAACCTGTATGAAATTCACCAATATTACATTACACTCCCATTCAAATTTTTAAACTATACAAGAAATACTAACCATAGCTTCAATAAAATAATCTTTGGTAAGTTTAATTGTATGTAAACAGATGTAGAAAAGTTAAAAAGGTTGGCTGAAAATGGTTTCAATTTCTTTTTTCTTTCAGAAAGTTTGGGGAATGGCTTATTAAAACAGTTTAAAAATATTGTGTCTTCCGAGGATTGACTTTCTAGAATTTGTTATTAACAAATAAGAAATTTGTTTGTTAGTCTCACACGTGAAGTACGCATATTACTGTTACAGTTGATTCTCCTTGTAACAATAAAACAATTTAAGAACATTCTGTGTTCAAAATAATAAAAAATATTCTTTAAATTGAGCAACAAAAACCAATGTAAAATCTTACATAACCTTCACATGACACATGAAAACATTTAACAGTTTAAGGAAGTATTGTCATAAGACATCTATTACAGTTTGAATGAGATTACTACTGTGTTCTGTCTTGGTTGGAAAAAAAAATTATTTCAAGGAAAGTAGTAATGCAAAGGATTTGCTATTTAAACCAATTAAACTAATGAATCTTAGGAAAAGGTTATTTTCATAATGTAGAACAAGCTAACAGTACATAAAAAAGAATATATATGCTAATCAAAATGTTCAGATGAACTGTAAATAATATTGAGGTTTTTCTGACTATACACTTACTAAACCATCGTGTACATGAGCACAGTTTATGCACAGGGTTCTTGGTTATCTTACTACCCAAGTTATAGCACAAAAGAACATTTCTGAGGAGACTGCTTCACACGGCCTATGTTGAATATACAAGTTGTATTTGAAACTGTAAATATGTGTTAAAGATTTCTTTTTCACCAGAGGTGAAATTGAAAAAAGAATGTATGATGTAGAGGCCTAATGTATTCTTTGATTGGCCATACCCTCTGCTATAGAATGCAGTTTTGACTATTCAAAGATCCTCAATACAGCTTGGGTCAGCAAACCAAAGAAATACCATTAAGCCTCTCATAATGGAGTTTGAGTCCATTTTACTTCACTATGTGGTGAACTCAAAACCCCATAGATTTATTTGAAATTGTTTTCTAGATATTTAACCTTTGTATATGTGTGTGAAGTTCCAAAACTTTTTACTTAAACCTCTAACAATTTGAAAATGTTAATCATCTTATTGTGTATTTCAAGTACTGACTTTCCACAATTTGTTGTTCAGAAATTATCATTTTCAACGTTATTTGGTAGCTAAATTAAATATTGAAAGATAACTGAACTTATCAGAAACAAAAATAGAAATATAATTCAAGTAAGGGTTTACATATCATTTTATTGTTTTCATATTGTACAGATCTTTTTTACAAGTTATACCTCTAAGAACAATTTTTTTCACTCAAAATTAAAACAAAAGGTTATCACTAAGTGATAAATTAAGGATATATAAACAGTGTAACTAAGACAAGAATGTTAGCATTACAATCTCATTGTAAAAACTACTAACTTTTTAAAACTAACATGTAAGCTATCTTGTAAACAATGTTTATGTTATTCTGTTTGTGTATATTTGGATTGATTGTGTGTTTTAACCACACTTTTTCCTGCATTAAATTTCACATTCAAAACTTGGTATTCAGTTGTGTATATTGGGATTTGTTTGCTTTCTTCTTCATTAATTAGAAACACAAAATGTAATAGTACTTTATTATGTACAGATCTTGGGAAATTTCCAACTATTTCAATGAGATTTGTTACTGTTTTTATTTTATTTTTAAAGAGAAACTATCTAAAAGATACTTGAACTTTGATGAGATGAAGAAAAGTATACAGCACTTGTTTTGTTTTTTGACACTGGAGGAGTTATGAGTTTGAAGTAAAAATTGAAAGTTTTCCTTCTCTCTCTCTTTGTTAATGTGCAGTTTTAGACTAGTCTTAGAAACCATACTTTTCTGTGGCTTTTAGTCTGTACAGTGGTTGAAATAAATATTTGTACTTTAATGTGCTTTGGCTTGGAAATTAGCACCAGTAATTGTAAAGAAGCACTCTCGAAATATGAGAATTGTTTACAACATTTTTCATCCTGATTTAGAAGATTTTAGTTACCTAAAGTTACTAGATATAAAATAAAGTTGTTCTTATTGTATCTGTAAATATATTTGTTCATTATCACACCTTTGTTGGTTGTTTCTAAAGATAGGAGTAACTACATTAACTCTATCACATCCATAAATATATGTGAACACTGTAATGGTTTTGTCACCATAACTACAATAAATCATAAGCAGCCTTCATTACATAAACACTATATAGCTTATTTACCATGACAACATTTACTCAGAATCACATTCACTCACTTTCTAGTTGAACAAGAAATCTACATCATAAGCAATCCTACATCAACAATCCTAAAAGCAGAGTTCTAGAAAAAATTACCTTGTTGCAGTTTTACCTTCTACAAGCAACATCTCTAGTAAAAGCTACAAGTTTATAAAGTGTATTTAAATTAAACATGAAAAATGTAGCTATGAAAACCAATGTAATAGATAGTAGTTTTTAATTTATATGAAAATTTGAAATATAAAATTAAATGAGGTATTTCATGTTTGTTAAAGTTGTGTCAAAGAAAGTTTAAAGTTACTTGGTTTTTAGAATAAGAGACAAAGATGAAACCCTATAACCCAAGCACTTTCAAAAGATGGACCCTTCTTCTTCAAGGTCAAACCGGAAAGAAGAAAGGTTCACCTTTTGAAAGCGCTTAGGGTTTCGTATCTTTATGTTAAATTGTTTTTTTGACATCATGAATTGCTCATACAAGAAGAGTTCTTATTAAAAACATAATTACTTCACAAGTTAAAACCTAGAGGCTTACTTTGACTAATACAAAACAATAAGAATAAAGGCTTGAATACTTAATTTTTCTAAGTCACATTATCAAGGTTGTATACCTTATTATCAATTTTTTAACATGTTTTAATTCTGTACAATAAAATCTTTGATAGAAGAAAATTAATAAATCACTTTAAATATGTTACTTCAACAAAATACACATAGTGTGTGTATAGTCCTGGCAGCAGGTTGTGTGCTATGGGGGAGAGGGGCAGATTTTGGAAAAGGTAACCTAAATTAATTAACTTGTGTTCGCTAATATTACACATTACAGTACGTTATCGTGAAACATTTTCACAAATGTAGTTTTCAGAATATAAATATATATATATATAAATTATTGGTATAATTATTAAGGCATTAGAAACCTTAATGTCTCAGTTATTTATAGTTATGTTTAGTTCTAATTGTATCTGATTTTAATTTTTGATTTTGTATATAAATTGCAAATCTGTGGGTGGGGGAAGAATATCTAATCTGGATCGGCAAGGCCCTCCTAGGGTGCCAGCTCTGTATGTAACATTTTCTTGCATTCAACTTCTCATTGTATAGAATGAAGCAAAACATTATATATATATATATATAAATTAAATTCTGAGTAATACAGCATTTACTTTAAAAACATTTAGCTAAATCAGTTACTACAAAAGTATTAGTTAATCCCAACTTCTTTATGGGCTGGTTAAACATTTTAGACAAATTTTATACATGTTACAGCAGCAAAAAGTTGCTGTCTAATGTGCTATTAACTAAGCTAAGTATGGTTTAATCAGTCCTGAAATAAATTAGTACAGTACATTGAGTACAGTAGTATGTTTATATTACACATTAAAAGACACAGGCTTAAGTCGAATAAATTAATTCAACACCATTATCATTCTCTAAACAGGGAGAATATTAAGTCACTTCCCATAATGTCGAACAATATTTTCCTCAGCCTTTCACCTTTTTTTTTATTATTATTATTATGATAATGGCTTATTTGTATCAATAAGGAGTAACAAAAATAATAATCTATATATCTATCTATATATATATATTACATGCAAAAAATGTACAGTTCAATATCTTTGAAGTTCAATTAAGCTTTTTGAATTCCACAAATATTTGTTTATACCTGACCCCCCCCCCCTTTCATCCATTTAGCAAGTTATTTTACATTAAGGGGAAAGATAATTACATTCAGCATATAATTTCCCCAACGGTTTGACAAAAAACGATATTTAACTGATCAATTCTTCAGTTTCTGTTGCTAATAATGGATTAAAACATCAAGCTGAATGTGCCATCAACAATACATACAGGTAAAATACCTCATTTATACTTAAAACTAACTGTAAATAAAAGCATAAGATGCTCACACCCACATCAAAATTCCTAGAAATGGTGGAGCTATTTTGTAAAACTTTTTTTTTCTAAATCAACATATCTTGAAGAAGTAACTTATAAGTTACATGTTTCTCAAGTTATAGTAAACTATCTGTGGCCTGATTTTCTCTCAATATGTACGATATTAAATGATATATTTGAACAATAGATTCTATGTTTAATTCAATGAATATCCACAAGCTCAGTCCTACACAATATCACTAAATATTAAGAAACTGAATAATAACACTTGTGGTTTATATTTTTCTAGCAATATTTTTCAAAAACAGACAGCTCTATAAATATATAACTACTCGGAGATGAACAGTTGTTCTTATAATACTATTCAAAACTAAAACCATAACTTTTGGAGGTCAGTGATCTAAGATCCTTAGGTTGCCAGAGACGATTTTATTTTCCAGGATAGCACCTGCTGGAATATCTATTCTGTCACCATGATTTGCAATGATGATCACAGTACCCTAAATACATTAGAAGGTTAGTGGATATTTTTAATTTAAAAAAAAGGAACTGTTAGCTGTAAAACATAACTTGAAGTATAGCTCAGTGGAAATTCAAATCACAGATTTTAACAGCTTTATCATTTTTATACCTCAAATGTCACCACTCATTAGTGCAATCCCAAAGAATGTTAAGGAAAAAAAAAGTGAATAAATCTAATGTTAGTAAATACCATATTAAATTTAGAAACAAAACTTACCCGAAGCGAAACTCCTTTTCCGAATGTGACATCACCCGAAACTGTCAAATGATCAAGCTCCAACATGTCAGGTATACTAGCAAATCGGCGTAGAAAGTCTCTAACCTGAATTCAAAACTTGAATAATAAATGAAAACTACAACACTAAAACTTATAAGTTTTCATGCATCTTTTTGTGGTACCTACAATGTTTGAATACTGTTATTGTAACTCTTTTCATCTTAGCATCAGAGAGTTGCTGTTTTATATTATGCAAATATTTCACATTTTTACCATTTCATCTACTCTTTTTATTATTTTATATAAACAATCTTTCTAAGAGATCAGCAAGTGAACAGACTTTATGGGAAAAGATAAGTTTGAGATCAGGCTCATGTAGCTTTGTACGAAATTTCAAACAAATCAGATCAGATTAAACATTTAATAAGTTTTGGGTAACATTAAGACAATATCCAGTGTCAATGAGCAACACTTCGTATATTTCATGAAAAAGCTACTCAATAAAATGTTTGAAAATAATCTATACATTCAGAACAAGATAAAATAAAAATTCTGGACAGAGATTAAGGGCATGGAAGTTAAGATTTTCATACAACTAGATGCTAAAGATTAAGGTTATATGAGGCAGAAGAACAGAAAGCTGTAATCTATTAGAACTCTTATTCAGTTTTCAGGATTATATACACTTTAAAAATTACAAGTTTAATCCCTTGAAGAATAACAACTTACCTTTGCAAAATGGTTTTCTCCTAGTTTCACCAATGGAACAGTGGGAAAGGCTCGTTTGGGGCTCATCTCTAAAGTGCCATTCTTCATCAAGTAAAGACTGCTCATAACTGCAAGCAGGTCAGATGTTTTCTTAACAGGCAGAAACCGTTTCCGAGGGACATTAATTCCTAGAAAAGCCAACTCCATATCAAGGAGGGAAACCACATGACAAACTCAACGTAGAAGGGTCAAAATCTTCCAAAAAATCCATTTCATATAAAAAGTTTAATGTAAACTATCGAACCAAATCTTGATCAATTTACAAGTTTCACAAGACAAACAGTGATGCAGTGAAACATGGTAAAGCATTTTCATTACACTCCAAACTACCAAATACTCACCAATAGCCCTAGCAAAGTCTTTCATTGCAGCACCAGATGCCGTCTCTAGTTGAATAACATTTATTCCATAATCAAGATGCTAGAAGAAATGAGTTGGTTCAATAAGTTAAGCTTTTAACATACATGTTGTAAGATATATTTAGATATGTGTATATATAATAAAATATAATGAATTCTGACCATGCAGAAGAGATGTATATATAATATGGTGTGTAAACAAAGTTTTTTTCTTAAAATTGAGTAAAAAAAAGTAATTGAACACAGATCAATTAAAAATATAAATTTTTTGTTTTATATTTTACACAGTTATGGGTTTTAGTAATTAACTCAAAACAAGTTCCTACTTGTAACAAAAGATATAATACAAATTAATGCTTGTATTTTTTTGATACCAATATGAAAATCTCGAAACACTGAACTAGAAAGCACTTACAGCTAATGCATTTAAAACAAGATATGTAGATTCAAATCTACAAGTACACACAACTAGTAACAGTAAAAATGTGAGTGTGATAATTTATAACACAAATTATGTCTGTGAAAACCATTTCATTTTCCACTTTATTAGTATGTACTGATACATATTTTGTATATAATGAAAACAGTAGTAATCTTTTTTCTTCAAGTGTGTTCTTTAGTTTAAAGCCATCAGTGCAAGCCTACTGAAGTAATTAAACAACAAAACATTCATTCTCCAGTACTTCAACTAACTTATGTAAAGGACATTAACAACTCTCCAAAATGTTTGAAATTGCAAGGGATTATTTTAAATATATCCTTTAATGCCTCAAATAAAGAATACCTTTTTCATAAAATGTAAACATCATGCTAAAATAATTTAAAAAAAAAAACACATACAAGGTTGGTAAATGAATAGATAAATATAAATCAATAAACTCTACAAGTTATTTTTTCTCGGTTTTGCATTCATGGCATCAAGTTCCTACAGCAAATTTCATTTACAACTTTAGTGCGGAAGTTACCTTATAACTAACTATAATTTCGATGCCTAACCTCCCATCTAATACCAGTTCCATTTAGATCTTTAGTGTGGAAGTTACCTTATGATTTACTAAAATTTCCATGTTTAACCTCCCATCTAGTACCAGATCCATTTAGATCTTTAGTGTGGAAGTTACCTTATGATTTAATAAAATTTTCATGTTTAACCTCCCATCTAGTACCAGTTCCACTTTAGATCCTTAGTGTGGAAGTTACCTTAAGAGTTACTAAAATTTCCATGTCTAACCTTCCATATATTATCAGTTTCATTTAGATTTTTAGTGTGGAAATTACCTTTTGGTTGACTATGATTTTAATGTCTAACCTCCATCTAGTACCAGTTTTATTTAGATCTTACTGTCGAAGTTAGCTTATGGTTGACTATGATTTTAATGTCTAACCTCCCATCTAGTACTGGTTCCATTTAGAAGTTTAATGTAGAAGTTACCTTATGGTTGAGTATAATTTCGATCTCTAACCTCCCATCTAGAATCAGTTTCATTGAGAACTTTAGTGTGGAAGTTACTTTATAACTAACTATAATTTCGATGCCTAACCTCCCACTTAATACCAGTTCCATTTAGATCTTTAGTGTGGAAGTTACATTATGGTTGATTATAATTTCCATGTCTAGCCTCCCATCTAATACCAGTTACATTTATAATTTTAGCATAGAAATTACCTTATGATTTACTAAAATTTCAATGTCTAACCTTCCATCTAGTACCAGTTCTATTTAGATCTTACTGTCAAAGTTACCTTATGGTTGACTATAATTTCCATGTCTAACATTCCCTCTTGTACCAGAGATGCTATACTTCTTAGACTCATCCACAAGTTGTTGGTGTTGAAAATTCTTAAAAAAAATGAAATGAGAAAGGATAGTACATGTTTTATAAAAATTTCTGTTACTAGTTAAACAGAATAGCCAAAAAATATTCAGCTTATTTTTTCTGTACTTAAGTATATATTTGTAATAAGTAAAAAGACTTCCTGACATATAGATAACATTCTCCTCTTCAATCCATACACAATGTTTGTATAAAGTGACTTAACTGGATATGCACTTAAACGAATGTGACTTGATGTTAACCATCAAAACCAAAACTGAAGCTTCACCTAAACTATAGTGTAATTAGACTAGTAATGAACTTTTACCAAACATATATAGTAGAACTGATCCCAGCTAATTAAAAAGGCTGTGAAAATTAATTAAAAACTACACAAGTATAAAGAAAACATTATCATTTGAAAAGTCAGTAAACCAAACAACATAACAGAAGTATTCACTACCGGCACTTGTGTTTAAAATTTTTTAATATAATAAATAATTAAAAACAACATTTTATATTTACACAATAAAAACTTTATTGAAGCCGTGTATAGTCTTGTAAGTTACTCCTGAGGATGACGT